TTCTGTGTGAAGAAAGAATGATTTTTCCAGAAACACACACACGCACTTGCTTCAAATGTGTTTTCTGTATGTCAAGCGAAAAATGAAGTAATTAACACACAAACACACTTACACGAACAATTTAGGGAAATAAGCGCAGACGTCTTTGCACTCTCTACGTACGTCTTACTAATTTTCTTGAGATATATAATGAAAATCATGGAAATCGAAAAGAAGAGGAAATGAAAAAAAAAAAAAAAAAAACTCTCCTTCTTTCGTGATTCTATGTTTTTATATCAACAATATTCAGACTCTTTTTGAAATGATTTTGTGACTCTTAAAAGATCCGTTTTGAATATGCAATTGTCCTTGTTCTGTAATATTCTGTCTGTGTGACTACTTTAACTGCTTCTTCAGCAGTGTTAACGTTTGATTCTTCCTCTTACACTGCCTATTTCTCTGATCCTCTCCCTGGTTTTTTTTATTAGACGACTGATTAAATTGAATTCCTCTATACATGGTCAACTAAGTGGATTGTTCCTCCGTAGTTCCGTTACATCTGGTACCATATTGACATCAACTTCGACTTACGACTTATTTTCTTTTGCTCACAGAATGGTTATGTCAGTGTGACTCTGACTTCGACAGAAAATAGACTCTAGCAGTTTTAATCGTTTATTCTGTAATTATGCTGTTTCTTAGTCTGTTGACGATACCACACTGTGATATAAAATGTACATCTATACTCAGATTGACGGCATGACACAACACTGTTACTCAACTATTTTACGTATAGGTCTGCGCTAAAATTCTAAGTGTTTGCTAATATACTTCACTATAATGACGTCATAATTAAAAACCCCACCCCTTGCACGTGAAAAGTGGTGTATATTTAAAGTGACAATCTATTAAAGTAAAGACAGCAAATGTCATATCGTTCAGTTTTGTGTTGTTGGGTTGCTGTTTTATTGACGTATGCCTTGCATCTTCTTTTATTCATATTTATGTTTTATGTGTCAAAAAGTTGGAACATATTTACTAAAGACTGAAAATATTATCGCATTTTATAACTGATGTTTACCATTTAAAAAGAAATCTATTTCACGCCTTCCCCCCTTTTTTTAAAAATACCCAAGAAAACAAAACAATATAAAAAGAAAAAGTAAGAGGAAAAACACCAAAACATCGTTTTCCACGCATAATAAGAAACAAAAAAAAGCCGCTACTTCTATCAGGGGTTTGCTTACGATGTATAGGGTTTGAAAACCTTATAAAGTACACAATTTGCGAAATTTCCTCAGAGAAGGTATTGGCTAAAGTCTGGAACATTATATACGTATTATATACGTTTTTAGGTTTTTTGGCATTTTTCGTCTTTTTAGAAGTTGTGAAGCGTGCAGATCAAAACTAAATAGTCCAAAAATTCTTGAGCAATGAATCAATCAATAAACGAGTCTTTATCGTGTGGTTTTTCATGATAACAAGCCAAATTTTGCAAAACTTTCCTATTTTACGTATTAACTTACCTTTTTCAGTAAATAATTGTTACATATAAGTTTTCATTGAAACATTTATAATCTTACCACAGTCGAGCACTGCTGGGAACTTAGCCCGTCACGGGCCTGAGTCAAATATGTACGAACGTTTAGGCGACGACATCAATTCTTATATGCAGCTTTCGCCATATCTTTCTTAATCCTGTTATAAGATAAAAGGGGGAGGTTAGGAACTACATATTTTTTTAAAGTTTTAACCCCGTTACATTTTCATAAGCCCGTTCCACGTCAGCAACCTTGTCGGTAGTTGTCGTATGTCATATCGTAATGTTTTTACTTTATTTAGAGAATTGAGTATTAATAGCAGATCTTTGATTGTTTCTGTTGAATTTATATGTATCTTTCATGAAATCGAGACAATTTAGAGCGAGACATATTGTGTGGTCACCTGTTCATTTGTTCAAGACTATATGTCTCCATCTAGATGGTTGTCTTAATTGTTTCTGTCACTGGGCTGCTGTTCCATTGACGTATAACCCACATCTGATTCTCCATCTATTTCACACTTAATTTTCTGTATACACTGCTGACTCAAAAATATATATGTATAAATCTGATAGCACTTATATGACATATTGTAAGGACACCTGTCTATTGTTGAAGACTTCACGTCTCCCTCTAGATGTTTTTTTGTGTTATTCCTGTCGTTCGGTTGGTGTCTCATTTATGTATACCTCACATCTCCTTTTATTCATGTAGTACTTAAATTTCCTTGTGCACTGATGGCTGCAAAACATATTATCATATAAATCTGATAGCACTGGCAGTTTTTCTTTGCGGATTGATTTAATTGTTTTCTGCTTAACGTCCAGTGGCAAATATTTCATGCATATTTAAGCATTGTCTCAGAAAATCAAATCGTAAAGATATTGCAAATGTGTCTACTTTAGCACTTGATTTTTAGTATTTTCTGTGTGAAGAAAGAATGATTTTTCCAGAAACACACACATGCACTTGCTTCAAATGTGTTTTCTGGATGTCAAGCGAAAAATGAAGTAATTAACACACAAACACACTTACACGAACAATTTAGGGAAATAAGCGCAGACGTATTTGCACTCTCTACGTACGTCTTACTAATTTTCTTGAGATATATAATGAAAATCAAGGAAATCGAAAAGAAGAGGAAAATTAAAAAAATTAAAAACTCTCCTTCTGTCGTGATTCTATGTTTTTATAACAACAATAATCAGACTCTTTTTGAAATGATTTTGTGACTCTTAAAAGATCCGTTTTGAATATGCAATTGTCCTTGTTCTGTAATATTCTGTCTGTGTGACTACTTTAACTGCTTCTTCAGCAGTGTTAACGTTTGATTCTTCCTCTTACACTGCCGATTTCTCTGATCCTCTCCCTGGTTTTTTTTATTAGACGACTGATTAAATTGAATTCCTCTATACATGGTCAACTAAGTGGATTGTTCCTCCGCAGTTCCGTTACATCTGGTACCATATTGACGTCAACTTCGACTAACGACTTATTTTCTTATGCTCACAGAATGGTTATGTCAGTGTGACTCTGACTTCGACAGAAAATAGACTCTAGCAGTTTTAATCGTTTATTCTGTAATTATGCTGTTTCTTAGTCTGTTGCCGATACCACACTGTGATATAAAATGTATATCTATACTCAGATTGACGGCATGACACAACACTGTTACTCAACTATTTTACGTATAGGTCTGCGCTAAAATTCTAAGTGTTTGCTAATATACTTCACTATAATGACGTCATAATTAAAAACCCCACCCCTTGCACGTGAAAAGTGGTGTATATTTAAAGTGACAATCTATTAAAGTAAAGACAGCAAATGTCATATCGTTCAGTTTTGTGTTGTTGGGTTGCTGTTTTATTGACGTATGCCTTGCATCTTCTTTTATTCATATTTATGTTTTATGTGTCAAAAAGTTGGAACATATTTACTAAAGACTGAAAATATTATCGCATTTTATAACTGATGTTTACCATTTAAAAAGAAATCTATTTCACGCCCTCCCCCCTTTTCTTAAAAATACCCAAGAAAACAAAACAATACAAAAAGAAAAAAGTAAAAGAAAAACACCAAAAAATCGTTTTCCGCGCATAATAAGAAACAAAACAAGCTACTTCTATCGGATGTTAGCTTACGATGTATAGGGTTTGTAATTGATAACCTTATATAGTACACAATTTGCGAAATTTCCTCAGAGAAGGTATTGGCTAAAATCTGGAACATTATATACGTATTATATACGTTTTTACGTTTTTCGGCATTTTTCCTCTTTTTGGAAGTTGTGAAGCGTGCAGATTAAAACTAAATAGTCCAAAAGTTCTTAAGCAATTATTCAATCATAAAACGAGTCTTTATCATGGGGTTTTTCATGATAACAAGCCAAATTTTGCAAAACTTTCATATTTTACGTATTAACTTACCTTTTTCAGTAAATAATTGTTACATATAAGTTTTCATTGAAACATTTATAATCTTACCATAGTTGAGCACTGCTGGAAATTTAGCCCGTCACGGGCCTGATTCAAATATGTACGTACGTTTAGGCGACGGCATCAATTCTTATATGCAGCTTTCGCCATATCTTTCCTAATCCTGTTAAAAGATAAAAGGGGGAGGTTTGGGATCTACATATTTTTTTTAAGTTTTAACCCCGTTATATTTTCATGAGCCCGTTCCACGTCAGCAACCTTGTCGGTAGTTGTCGTATGTCATATCGTAATGTTTTTACTTTATTTAGAGAATTGTGTATTAATAGCAGATCTTTGATTGTTTCTGTTGAATTTATATGTATCTTTCATGAAATCGAAATAATTTAGAGCGAGACATATTGTGTGGTCACCTGTTCATTCGTTCAAGACTGTGTCAAGCGAAAAATAAAGTAATTAACACACTGACACAAACACACAATAGAATTTCATAGCATACACATATTTCAATTCATTAAAACTTGATTCAAATCATTCACATGAAGTTTAAGAGACATAAAAACAAATAAGATAGATGAATATTATTTTTCTTACTCGTCTTTCTATCTTTCCTTTCTCTATCTTGTTTGTTTTTTATGTCTCTTAAATTTCATTTGTTTGATTTGAATCAAGTTTTAATGAATTGAAATGTATACACTGTATGCTATGAAATTCTATTGATTTTAGTATCATAGGAAAAGACAATTTATGATGGACTGACTAACTTAATGAGTTTAATCCTTTTTGCGATATTTTGCAAATAAAATATGTTTAAACTAAATTAACAGTGTTGTTTAATGCAACACAGTAATAATACCGAATTCCTATACCTGATATTTGTATGGCATTGTTGAAATGGCAGAGTTCCTGAAGGTTAACAGTGATATCATTTATGCTGGTTTATCAATAATAGCACCATCATATTCCCGCCCGTCATATTCAAGGTTGTTTTAACACCAAGTGCATTTCAATGAAAAAAGAAGAGTGTTACATTTGTGAAAAAGTCAGACATGAAGAGACGTGTAGCGATTATTGGTGCCGGCTGTAGTGGTCTAACAGCAATAAAAGCATGCCTAGAGGAACATCTACAACCTGTCTGCTTTGAGCGAGAAGATGATATTGGAGGACTGTGGAACTATAACGATGAACCCAAACTTGGAAAAGGAAGCGTGTTCAGAAGTACTGTTATCAATGTAAGTAAAGAAATGATGGCGTTCAGTGATTTCCCTCCACCAAGACATTACGCTACGTATGCTCCCCATCGTCAAGTCTTGGAGTACTTCAAGTTGTATGCAGAGAACTTTGGACTGCGTGAGTTCATTAGATTTGATACAAGTGTTGAGAAGGTTGAACAGGCTGACGACTATGAAAAGACAGGACGATGGACAGTTACCTTTCGAAAGGAGACAACTAATGATGTAAAAACAGAAATATTTGACGGCGTAATGGTATGTACCGGACATCATACATTCCCTCACATGCCAGTATTTTATGGGAAGAGACAATTCAGGGGAAGAATAATGCATTCACACAGCTACAGAGACAGCACAGAATTTGAAGACAAAACAGTTCTTATAGTTGGTGAGTCCTCATAGTTTCTATTTTCGAGTCAAATGTTATTGTTAGATTTCTACTTTCAAAAAGATATGGGCTTCTTTATTTGTTGTGTGTAGACATTTGAAATAAATCTTTGAAATTATTTTCAACTAATTTGAACCCAACCTCAAATATATTCACGTACCAAACTGATTTGATAATCCCGTAGACCGAAAACATTGTCGTCATTAATTTTAAACGCTAATAGTAAGATACATTGTAAAAATATCACAAATGATCCGTTTTCTTTGTTTTGTAATCAAATTTTCGTAAAATGGTCATACTCTAGGAGAGGGGGCTTTATTGATATCACCGTGTCCGTCTGTCCGTCCGTCCGTTCGTCCAAGGATTATTTTCGTCACAATTTTCTCATAAACGGCTGAACAAAATGACTTCATATGTGGCAAGCAGATTGACATTGATGAGATGTAACGTGTGTGCACTGTTCGGATCTTTCAGATACCTAATTCCGGTTTTCCGATACTTTGAAATTTTCACTATGTTGAATGAACTTGAAAATTTTCGTCATATATTTCTTTGATAAGATCGGACAGAATGCATGTGTGCTTTTCGGATCTACTTTCTGTTGTCCAAAACTTTGAATTATGCGTGGGGTATGGTTATTGCAAATTAAGGACAAAAGCACAGGGTGATATATTTATTCAAGTTTTCGATCTTAGGTCATTTTTGTGAATTTTGTTTCATTTGATATTACACTACATTGAGTTTAATATTCTATTTTTTATTTACAGGTTTGGGAAATTCGGGAGTTGATATAGCAGTTGATCTGTGTAAACATGCAAAGCAGGTACAATGTTCTTATTTTACAAATTGTTAATTTTTTATACAGACAAATCGGTGAATGGATTTTGTTAGCGCTCTTAGAATTTTTTTTTAATATCAAAGACCTGAATTTTTTTTTCAGTTTTGAATATTGAATATAAGAATCAAAATTGCTGTTAATTTTCTCATTATTTTCATGTACTTTCAGGAAGTTTTCCTTTTAAATAAAACTCTTTAGTTTTCAGCACATTAGAGTTATAAGGTTGTTCACTTTATTTAAATCTGGACCATATTAAAATTACTTTTCTATAAAATGAGGATATGTGGTATGATTGCCAATGAGACAACTATGCAACAGAGTTCACATGAAACTTTATGATTTGTTATATTGAGTGATTACATGAACAGTTCATGGCAATACATCATTAAAAGATACCACATGATTGCGAGTATTTAACCGCTGTATATTAACTTTTGATATCTTTTCTTTCAATTAAGTTTTCCAAGTAGAAATATCATTATCATTATATGTTTTTTTTTCGTATATCGTGTTTCATTTAACATGCGATAGCAGCTAGCTAATGTCGACTAATTGATTCTTTATCCTATAAAAATGTATATTCGGAGACAACTTATTGCAGATATAACAAAAATAATTAATTTAGCAACAGTTGTTTACCGAAAAAGGAGGTCTCGATGCCTGAACTATACAGAAGAATTAAATCAGCTGACTCAAACCATATTTGTGGTACAGTTTAATTCAATATCAGCAATATTTACAGACCACAAATAAAACGAGAGGAGTCCTGTTTCAGGACAAATCTTAATGAGTGATAGGATACAATTCTTCGGTTTCTATTTAAAATATGCAACTATTAAAGAAATATTTTCACATCAGGTAGTCATTAAACTTCCCAAATTAGAAGAATAAATAATCTCATTTTCAATAAATTTTCATTCATCTCCATAAATGAAAATCAATATCTTATCAAAAACAATTTACACGTTTGTAATATTGAAATTTTGTCTTTTGTAATTCATATTTTGAATGTGACAATTATGAATGGCCAAAAACAAAATTTGATTTAACACTTTCAAAAAGAATATAGTGCTAAAATCGAAAGAGTTATAAAGTTCAATATATTCAAAACTGCTGTTAATGAGGGCATGATTTCAGATGTTTAGAAATTTTAATCTACCTAAACAGTTTTACAAATTTGTTACTTAGTATCATTAGCCAACTCCTTTTTATCGACCACTTTAGCCTACCTTATAGACAAATAAATAAGTCCAGTAAACCAACACTGTCCGAAAGTAAGGTCGGGTAGAGCTACCAAAATGGATACTAATTAACACAAGAACCTTACAAATTCGTTTCGTATCTGTAATTGTAGTAAAAGAGAGGCGAAATATACCAAAGGGACATTCAAACTCATAAGTCGAAAAATTAGCTGACAACTGAAAAAGACCCTAAGACAAACAACAGTATACAAAACACAACATGGAAAAACAAAGGACTGAGCATGTGGCACCCGTCGTGTTGCTCATGTTAGTACAAATCCGGTGATAAGTCTTATTCGGTAGGTCACAGTCGGGGAAAGGAGGACGGGATTGTTGTTACGACAATTGGAACATATCCGTCGTCATTTGTGAAACAGATATTTCATAACGGTCAACCAACTCTTAATGGCAGTAAATGTTCAACATCAAATATTTCATACTATTGTGTACTGGCGTCAATTTATCTCCATTGAAATCGCAAATAAAGCAATATAGTTCTCCCAAAATACAATAATCCCGTGCCAAAAAATGATTAAAGCCACAAGTTGTTTATTTAATATAATTTATTTTCGTTTTGGAGAAAAGTGTAGCGGCCATAAATATAACACTCACAAACTCTACTCTGTCTGAATGAATCAAATTATGAATACATTTATTAAGCCCCGGTCACACCTTACCGGATAGCGCGAATGGACGCCAAAGGGATAACTTTTTTTCAATCCGTTTATGTCCATTAGACGTCCGTTCTTATCCGTTAGACGTCCGTCCATATCCGTTTCATGTCCGTTCAGAGTCTGTTTTATCCGTCGACGTCCGTTCTGTCCGGTGGAAAATTTTGAGCATGTTCAATACTTTGAACGGACTTCCAACGGATCAAGTGTCCGTTGAACGTCCGGTAGGCGTCCGTTTTTTACGGTACTCGTCCGTTCCGTTTCCGTTTTGTATCTGTTACTTGTCCGGTAGACCAATTCACCAACTAGGTTGGTCCCCTCCGTAAAATATTCAGTATGCCTTCTGAATATACAAATAGCTTGTCAATAACGGTCGGGTACCAGTCTATTCACCAACGGACTTCTAAAGGACGTATAACGGATAAAACGAATGATGAACGGATGTGAAACGGACATGAACGGAAGGATAATGGATAAAACGGATACGTACCGAATGTAAAACGGATAAATGCCAATTGAAAATTTCGCATCAGAAATGCCAATTATTGGTAGGTCAGATTTCTTGAGTGTCATGAATGTTTATAATTCACGATGGATCTTGGAGTAAGAGCACGTCTTCACTATCAAGCAATTCTTATTCAGGCCAGACTGAACTTAAATGTTGCAAATATAAACCTACTAGCTGTCGAAAGGAGAAGACAAAGGAGACGGTGGACATGGTCAGGCCGCTTTATTGGCATTTTTCTCTGACATTTTTTTCCTCTTCCTTTTCCACCCCTACCATTTGGCGGCATTTTGAAGAATAAACTAAAACCAGTTACACGAAAACTTTTTAATTATTTAAAAGGTCACGTGCATGTAATTTACATGTTGTTATTGCCGCCTTTAATTTTCCGCTTATCTTGTTCATCCGTTTTATCCGGTACGCTTCCGTTAGGTGTCCGTTTTATGCGGTACTCGTCCGTTGGATGTACGTTCGACATCCGTTATGTCCGGTACGTTTCCGTTTCTCGTACGTTGCATATAGAATACGTAGATAAAGAATCTATAGTATGTTTTTTTTTAATACTAATGCATTTAATGCAAGTGTGGTTGATATAGATAACAAACAAGCAGCCCAAAAAGAAAAAAAAAAGAAAAATAGATATCCATATATGTATAGTACACAATAAGTTGGATCAATTAAACATATAATAATTAGCCAAAAAGAAAGTAGAAATTAAGCATGTCCATGACTCATCCTGTGTCAGCAGCAAATAGGAAAGTATTATGGTTTCCTAAAGGCAGCTGACACCAGGGGGCGATACCTTATGGGCCATAGGCATGTAAAATGTGTGTAAATGTCTCTTTCCTACCTGTATCAAAAGCAAACAAGGAAGCATCATAGGTAACTTGAATGCAGTTGATACCAGGGGACGATGCCTCAAGGATATAAGAGAACATTTGAATAAATAATATATCTTAACAATTAATTCTTTTTTTCTTTTAATCGGCTAGTATGTTTGTGATATTCAGATGAATATAATTTTCTATGTCCAATCAAATGTATATACACACATAGATTTTCTTTAACTAATCTTCACTAAGGAAGATGTTTGTATATAAAATTACATATTATTTTAAGTAAACCAACATTTTCTACACTAAATAACCAGATAATTTTGTTTTGACTGCTCATATGATTAAAATAAGAATTATATTTTGCAATACTAGCTAACATACAATTTCTATCATCCTCAAATTTGTTACAATCAGTAGAAAATGAGCCTCATCTTCAACAGTATTGGAAGAACATTTATTACATATTCTGTTAATTCGAAGAATACCCTGATATCTACCTAATTCTATTTGTAATCTATGAGAAGATACACGTAATTTAGAAAAACTTCTTCTAAGTTCAAAATTCTTGATCAATGTTAGATATTTTTCAAAACCAAAATTTGTTTTATATAAAAGTTAGGTTTTCAGTTTACTGTCTTTTTTTTCCAACAGCTAATAAACAATATTGATAGCTTGGTTTGTATATATTTCTTAAATTTGTATAAGGATTCACAAAATGGAGCATTTATGGCATTTGTATAGTCAATACCAAGTATTTTAAAAATAACATTTATTGAACCATACCATGATGTTATATTCATGTGATGTAGTGTCTTTGATTGTGTATATGCCTCTTTTAATAGAGGAAAATTATTACCTAAATTCTCTAATCTATACCAGTACAATAACATTCCTTTTATAATATTAAAATATATTGGAAATCTTCCAAGTTCAGATACCACTGCTGCATTTGTTGTTTTCTTGTGTACCCCAAGTATAAATTTACAAAATTTTATATGAAGTTTCTCACAGGGTAAACCTGAATATAATTTTTCAAAAGATATATCTTCCTTCTTACATTTAGAGGAAAAAGAATTAAACATCCCCCATATTTCGCTACCATATAATAAAATGGGTTTTACAGTGTAAGCAAAAAAAAAGGAATACTTGTTTTTACATCAGGATTAAGTGATAAAAGATCTTTCCTTAATTTGAAATAAGCTTTCAAGGATTTTTTGTATAGTTCATTTTGAGCATAACTGAATGAACCAGATGAGCTTAAATATAAACCTAGGTATTTGTATTTTGAAACACATTCCAGATTTATATTCTGAAATGTGAATATCTGTTTTACATGTCTGCCTGCTTTGTTGAAAATCAGAACCTTTGTCTTATTAGTATTCACATTGAGACACCAATCTTTGCAAAATTTATCAAGCATTCCCAGCTTTTCTCGTAGTCCTTCAGCTGATGTAGATAATAAAACAATATCATCCGCTTACATTAAACAATGTAGATCTTTGTCATCGACATTAACTGGGTCTCTAGTATCGGACAAATATCTGGGCAAATCATTTATGAATATCTTGAATAAATCAGGACTGAGGTTGTCACCTTGTTTGACTCCAATATCTAATGGGAAAAAATCACTTACTTGATTTTGAATTTTGACACAATCATGCAAGATTTGCTAATTTCATACATACTTTTAATAATGTTATAAAAATAAGACCCAACCCCAATATCTAGTAGTTTAATCTTGATCCCTGTATGTATAACAGTATCAAAAGCCTTCTGAAAATCAACAAAACAGGCAAACAGTCTACCTTCTTTTGAATTACAGTATTTGTTAATAAGACAGTTTAAAATAAACATATGATCTGCAGTTCTGGCTTTCCTTGTGAATCCAATTTGACTATCATGTATAATATTATGTTCCTGAAGAAATGTTTTGAAGATGACTTTACTTAAAATTATCAATAAACACAAACAATGCAAGTCCTATGTAACCTATGTATATCAAAATCTGAATTCAAACAAATAGCATGGGGTCAGCCTATATCACCTGATATATATACATATGTATCACTGTATCATTATTTTCATTCTAAGGGCAAATAAATTTTATAAAAGTTTTGAATTCTCGCTTAATATCTTTTTTTTTTGTTGTAATTTGGTTGCTGTCTCATTGACGAATTACACATATTGCTTTTTATGCACAGTTTTAACATAAAAATGTTTCAAAAGGTGAATACACTGGATAATTTAGAGCTCGCATATTGATACAGACTTAATGCTGACCTCTAGATGTCGTTTGGTAGTTGTCTCATTCACGTTTAGCCTCACATCATTTTTTTTCAGTTACAAAAAAAAAAAAACTCAGAGTACTTTTGTCTGTATTTCTATGTTGAAAGTGTTTACTGGACAAATATGACGTTCATTGAAATCTAGACGCCAATGCAAGAAATATACTTTCCACAAGAAAACCCCATTATTTAACGGTAGTATTTAGAAAAATATAGATTTGTTACAGAAAAGCTCGTTTCAATATCTGCTGGTATTGTTGGAATGAATCAGATGGTTTTATGAAGTTAAGCCAACAAACTGTCATCATCAGTCATAACATTAAAGGGTCACATCTGCGATAAGTACGGGCAAATTACCAAACAGTTGTTTTCTCTTCGGATCTCTTCGCGCAGTTTCTCGAGGGATTGTAAAGTGGTATTTCTAAACACGACTACTAGGGGATTTTCAACGACCTTGACTACCAATGAGGGTCTCGCACGGTCTAAACACGTGCACATTTACAAACAGTTATTTTGCCTACGTGCAGTTACCCGGGAAAAGGTGGGTTATTTTTGCTGATTATTTGATTAGTGGTTACTATAGTAAAGTATAATCTATACTACTTAAATAACGAGGTCCATATCCGGCATGACGTAAAACCGACGAATCAAAGAATTTAACTTTATAATAACTAATATAGGACAATAGTGTTGTTTAAAAATTACTCCATTCCAGGGCCTTTTGTTTTCCACATAATAAATATTGCCAATAATTAACAAGTTCCGGGTCGAATCCGATACCGATACCAATAGTATATGTCACATGTAGTTTCTGGTAGTTAACTTCTGTAAATCCCTCCTCTTTCAGGAGAAACTGGAATTATTTCAGTAGTTGTTTTTATATTATAGTACACTGTTTAACAAGTCTGTTTTCTTCCACCTCAAATACCACTATTATGTTGGTTAATTAGTTAAATATTTGAATTTACTTTATAGTAAGTTTATTGTAGTAAGAAAACCAGGACGGGTTCAAACAGAAATTTTGAAAATAGAGAAAACTGTGCATCTTACAATCATCATGACTTTATCAGATGACAATACGAATACTAAAAATCCAGGCTAAAATAACGCATAGGTACTTTAATTCAGTCACGAACCCGCGATGTTACGGGTGTGTTCCAGTAATTATGGTATTTATAACGTTTTCAATATTAATAATTTTGAATATAAACTTTTAATAAAGGTCACGATTGTATCATCATGCTGAAATACATATACTTTTAACGTCACAGTATCCAACTTGCACCGAGTACACAAATCGCACCCATTTAGCAAAAAAAGCAGCAGAAATCTTACAAGTTTTCTTAGAGACTGAAAAATTTGTAATTTTATGATTTGACATTATGCATGTCTTTCAACATAGCTAAATATATTTAAATATACATAAAACGTTCACAGTATATATCAGCAGATGAAGTAATCACTGGAAAAAGTAAAATCTACGGAAAAGTCGCCATGCGACGTCCACAAAAAGTCAACTTTTAAAAATGAGCAATTAAAATATGTTACATGCATTCATTTATTTAGAAATGAATAGTAAGCATGGACTATTGTCAAATTGTTCCTAATATTTGGAGAAAAAAAAACAAAACATCAATTATTCGATTTTTACGGATGTGAATTTAAGCATGGATGCAATTTGGGTACTCCTCATTACTGAACCATGGACAGTCTGGAGGTCGATTCAAACCCATTTTTCTATGATTCAATATGAATTCAAAATTAGATTGGTGGAACTATAGAGTAAACAAGGATGTATCTACAACATAAACAAAGAATGGACATTTTTGTCTGGATCATAAATAAATTCGAACTGCAACATGCCATCATTTTCTTTCAACATAAAACAATCAGATATACCAATTCGTTGGAAATCGTTTGCTCCTTTTTGATATAATTATATACAAGTATGCGTGTAATCGAACAAAATTTAATGTATACTTCTTAATGATGTTTAAAGAAAAATCCTGAAAAAATGTCAATCGGAAAGAAGTTTTACCGGCGCTATGGTTGAAGGTCGTAGTTAAAGACCAAATCAACCAATTTACCATTTTACCATTAATGCTACCTGCATATAAATATTATAACAATACACTTAAAAACATTAACAATGTAACTATAGTGCAGGCATTTGTATAGCCAGTGCCGTATTAGCTATTCTGAAGTTGATGAGAAAATTGCTCATATAAGTACAAACCTTCTTTATATCCTAGGTTTATTTAAGTTCAAGAAGAGGTGCATGGGTTATAAGCAGAAAATTTCTTTGTGGAATTCCAGCTGATGCATTTGCAAACACCAGACTATTATTTTCCTTGCCTAAATCTTTCCTGAAGTGGGCATTTCAGTTTTTTGCCAATTTACATTTTAATCATGGATTATTCGGATTGAAACCAGAACACAGGTAAATATATTGTTTAAATTTATTTTTTTTTGAGTAACTTGATATGCAATTTCTGACTAAAACGCTGATTCTAATTTTAAAATATTGTATCATTGTTAGCAATTTAATATACAATGCAATCATTAAAAAATTTCATTTAAGATTTTCACTTTCACACTTTTGTTCGTACAGATTTTTTCTTTCTGTATTTTCCTTTTCCTTTCGTTTTTGAACTTTTCTAGTTTTACAGCTGATCCATATACCGTAGATTTTAATTTTAGTTAAATCTTGTTGATGGGCTATACACGTTTTTACCCTTAATTTTCTTTAATTCATATGTACTTCTAACTACTTGTATGTGATGACTTTACGATTGACGTTCCTTATCTGATAGGGAAGTGGACAAATTCAATTAAGAAATTAATCTTTATAACTTGATATCTGAACTGAAATATTTGTTTTAGAGGGCTCGAAACCCACCCTACAATCAGTGATGACCTTCCAGTAAGAATGTTATCAGCACAGGTGATCCTAAAACCAAACGTCCGGCATTTCACAGAAACTGGTGTTATTCTAGACAACAATGAATGTATTGAAGTTGATGATGTTATCTTTGCAACAGGTAAAAATACAGGATTTTCCGTTGATTCTTAAATATTGTGAGGACCGCCACTTTCAATGAAAATTATTGAACAAAGAAATTTAACAACTCATTTTGAATTGTTCCCCTTGAACCAGTTTATTTTCACGAGTCATACAAAATTTAGAATGTTTTTACTTGATCATCGAAACATCTGAACGCGGCATACAAAAAACTAACTGGAAGTGTTTAACGACCTTGACTGGATGTACATCCCTCGCACGGTCGGCATACAAAAAAGAAATAATAACGTACATAATGTGTTGCAATACCTATAATACTAGTCACGTGATGTGTGAGACGGTTTGATTTTATTACTTGCAAAAGAAACATGATGAAATGTGTGAGACGGTTTGATTTTATTACTTGCAAAAGAAACGTGATGAAATGTGTGAGACGGTTTGATTTTATTACTTGCAAAAGAAACGTGATGAAATGTGTGAGACGGTTTGATTACTGGCAAAAGAAGCGTAAGACTTTAAGTGTCTTTTTTTAGATTTAATTATGCATAAGAGAGATGTGTGCATAAGATCGTAACCCATCGAAGAATTAAAAAAAACAACAAAAGGCATAGAGAGGTCAACATACGGTTTTCAACAATAGACAAGTGTCTATAAAATATGCCAAGCTCTATTCCGCTCTGAATTTAGAAAAAAAAAATGAGAAAAATTGTGCATGAAATTAACAGAGATTTGTATTCTTCGGTTCTGATTCCATTTAAGATTGTTCTTATTTTTTGGCTTAAATCTACAAATACTGCATTTAACTATACCTGTAACAATAATTCACTTATCGCAATTGTTATACTCATATTTATATATATCACCAAACACATCAAAAGACAAGCTTCAATCATCAACAACATGCGTATGTGTACATCACATTCAACTTTACATTTTATCTTTAGGATATGATTTTAAATTTCCATTTATTGATGATCGATTGATATCAGTCGACAAGAACAAAGTATTTCTGTACAAGTATATGTTCCCGCCACACCTTCCTTACCCAACACTGGCAATTATTGGACTGGTCCAGGTTATTGGTGCTGTCATGCCAGTCTCAGAAATGCAATGTCGTTGGTTTACAAGACTTTTAAAAGGTATATTTATTAACGGAATTTCTGTAATTCTCCATTTGGTTTGTTCCTTATTTTTTTAACAGACTCGCATTAATTATTTCAAACAAAGGATTAAGTTTCGTTTTCCTGAATATCATAAATTTTAACATAAACTTATTATCAACGGTTTAAATGATATTTGAATACTCCTTGCTTTATTAGACGATACAATTTGAATTATCTCCCTTTGGTCCTCTAAATTAAAAAGATACTAGATAACCTGACTACAAATAACTAAACCAAAACTGAAAAGAGTAACGAACAGGTTTCTTTCTGGGTAACAAATGAAAAGAAGTGCATCTAATACAAAATGGAAAGTGGTGTGTTTAATTAGTACCAAATAGATTAAAATGATTACTAACACAGCACGGAAATGAATGTCCTTTCGTGTTATAATGGAATTTAAACTGCACTTAACATTAGAATTTAGAAATTTATCAGACATACAGCAGGGATATTTTAAAAAGCCTTCGACAAGGTTTGGCACTTAACCTTATTTTTTAAATTGAGGAAGCTCGGATTGAGTGATTTATTTTAAAAAGTAATTAAAGATAATTATAAAAACACATATTTGTGTGTAAAAACTAATAGTAACACACTAACTGAAAACTTCCCATCAGATATTGGTGTCCATCTAGGGGATAATCTGAGCCCTACATTGTTTAAACTTTTTATAAATGATTAACCAGAGATTTTTTTATTCTAACTGTTGCCCAGTTTCGTTAAAAAAACAGCACAACTTAACTGTTTAATGTATGCACAGGAAGGATATCAAAGGAAAAATTCACATTTAATGGCCAACTTATTAATAATGAGAAAAATTTAATTATCTTAGCATTATATTCACTGTCTCAGGCAGATTTACAGACGCTAAGTTCAATCTATATAATAAAGCAATATAAACCTTTTTTAAATTAAAAAGATATTTTACTCATTTTAAACCTAATATCAAAACTCTTTTACATCTTTTTGACCACATACTGAAGCCAATTTTATTATATAGCTCAGAAATTTGGGACCAATCCTCTCCAAATAAGTTATATTACAATCAAAAGGGGGATAACTATTTTTTTCCAAAAGTGTAAACATTTATTTATTGAAAAATTTCATGTTAAATTTTGTAAATATTCTCTACAGGTACCTAGAAGATCAACTAACCTAGCAATGATGGGAGAGTTGGGGCGATACTCCCTATCTCTTGGGGTTATTCTTAATATGTCTAAATTTTGGGTCAGACTATCAGAACAAAATAAATCCCTCATTAAAGAAGCATTTGAAGAATCTGAAATTTTATCTAAAAAATATAACAACAATTGGTTGGGTAGCATTTATTCATTATTTAAATGTCTTAGTTTGACCGCAGAATATTTGTTAAATCACAAATCTAATATAAAGTCAATTATCATTAAAAGACTCAGAATTAAATATGATGAAATTTGGTGCAATCAATTAAATAATGACAAACCTGGCATGGTGCAAGGAAATAAATTACGAACTTATAGACTATTCAAAAATAATATTGGCCTTGAAAAATATTTACTGTTAAATAATTGTAAAACAATAAATGAGTTAACCAAATTTAGAATCAGTGCCCATTAACTTGAAATAGAAAATGGAAGACACAAAGGAATACCCCCAGACAAAAGATTTTGTAAATTATGTAACAATGACATTGTTGAGGACGAAATTCATTTTCTTCTTCAATATCCATCACTTAGAACTGAAAGGTCCAGTTTCATTTTAGATTTATCTTCTAAATTTACTAAATTAAATTTTTAAATGACCAATTAAAATTTATATGGTTGATGTCAAATGAAAATCCAATAGTTAATGATATAATGATAAAATTAACAGTTTAATAAAGACTAGAAGAGCAAAATTAAGTAATAAGACATGAGTGGCCCCCAGCTCTTCCTTCAATAATTTTAGGGATAAGGGATGGATAAATACCCTGCCACGTCCGGCCTACGTTTATGTTTGATGTTTTTCTGCTTTGTATCGATCTGATGAGTTAAGCCTTTTTCAACTGATTTTTATAGTTTGTTCTTATGTTATGTTCTTATGTTATGCTGTTACACCACTGTCCCAGGTAAAGGCAGGGTTGAGCGCTCACAAACATGTTTAACCCCGCCACATTCTTTAAGTCAGGAGCCTGTAGTTCAGTGGTTGTCGTTGGTTCATGTCTATTATATTTGTTTTTCGTTAATTGTTTTGTTATAAATTAGGCCGTTAGTTTTCTCAATTGAATTGTTTCATATTTTTCATGTCGGGGCCTTTTATAACCGACTTTACGGTATGGGTTTTTCTCATTGTTGAAGGCCGTACAATTGTTTATATCCACTTTATTTGAACTTTGGTGGATAGTTGTCTCATTAGCAATCCTTATTTTTATACTGATTGTGTTCACTCATTGGGAATACACTGTCTTTGTTGTCTCCATTTTACTATATAGTTCATGTATTGTAATATTTCAATCAAAAAATAATCATCACAATTATTTGTACACTTTAATTTAGATTAGTGTAAATGTTCTGCCCCTCGGGGAGTCTTGATTGACAAATACAAATTGTTGTTGTTATTGTTGTTTATAGAGTAAAAATGTATTTGACTTTTGAAGTTTTGTCTGTACTTACAACAATCTTTTGAACGCCTTCAGTAAAATTTGACGGAAAAGCTTTTATAAATAGTAATGGAGATGAGAAGATTACCTATCCTAAAAGTATTTAAAAAAACTGGTGAAATGTCAAGGAAGTTCCACAAAAGAAAGAATAATCATTTATTCTTTGTAAATTCTTCACTGATTCTATTTTAAGACAGTAGTTTGTGATTTCCTTTCTTTTCCCTCAGCACCAAGCCTTCTGTAAGCGATTGAAATAGAAATACATGCTTTATCTAAAAGAAAATAATGCTTTGATTAAGGGTCTAATGGCTATCTTTGATTGTTTTGAGAAACTGATATCAGTACATTTTACAGAAAATTGAATGTCAAATGTGTATTGTAAGTTAAAAATAGTTATTTCAATCTGCGTAAAAATGATGGAATATCTTAGTATCATTTAACAGGAAAGAATACACTACCTTTCCGGGAGATAATGGAGGAAGACATAGAACAGAAAAGAAAAGGTTCTCGCTATGTTAAAACTCAACGACATACAATACAGGTATCCGTAATGATTGTAGATCTAGTATAGATATAGATAAGTGTTTTATTTTCCATCAAATAGGCTCGCAAAGAGCGTATTACAATATAAGGTAGTATTTTTAGACAAAAATAAAACAAACAAACATACAATGAAAAAAAATAGTTCTAAAATGTAAAAACTACAATAACATATATAAACATAAACCTTCCGTCTTCCCGTCCTGCAATTAGATCTGTGCTAAAGATGCAACTGTTTGATTATGTAGCATATAAAACTACACAAACACAATTATAGTGTATAATTTGGGAAAAACCGCAGTATCTACATGTTAAAGGAAACGAGCGTTTACAATCCATAGGTCTCCATAGATGACTTTTTTGGGCAGCTTAACTTTTGATCTACTCAAATCATCCTTTTTCTGATGCAATAGCAGTCAAACTCACCATTCCCTTCTTCCGTCGAATCAATTTTCGGGGGTTTGTAATTTCAAACATTATTAACTTGGTCTCGTTATGATTGTGTGTGAAATAATCGCCACTAGATATTTTATAGCGTCAAAATATGAATCAAAAGACAATGCCAAAATATATGTGTTCACAAATATTTCTTTCGTTGTATGTCAGTTCTTCGTCTAAATAATTGTCAACAAGCTTATAATTAAGGATTAAGTCGTTCATATCAAAACAGCGAGTTCAATTTGGACCTCACAGCTACCTTTGACATTCCAATTAACTAAACATGTTAACATATGGGAAGATATTGTTAGCTGTTTCATATTTTATGAAATTTACCCCAGTTTGTTCATCACCAATAAATTTAAGAAGAACAGCTTTTTCATAGTGCTCGGAAACCATTGGAAATGGAATAGCTGAAATCATTAATTTTCATTACTTTGCTCTTTCAACGCAAGATGATTATAGTGTTTAAGTAGTAATTCTTCTTTTTCTTCTCCTTTTTTCTTTCCTTCTTCTTCTTCTTCTTCTTCTTCTTCTTCTTCTCATACATCCTTTACCAGACCAAAAATAAATTTATCCTTTTTAATATTGAAATGGAAGTGTTATCATTTATCAGCAAAAAGTTCAGGTTTTGGCAATTTAACCCGAAAAATGACAAGATAGTACAGCGATTCATATTGCCATCCAATAGCAGAGATAAGTATCAATTTGATGGCAGAAAAATAGACGCAATTATGAAACATCTTCTGAAAGTGTAACCGCACCTGGCAAATTTGATATAATGACACTTATCCTGTTTTATCAAAAGTAATTGCTCTTTTTAGAACAAGAGAAAAGATAAACTGATTATTTATTACTTCGATGTAATTCAGATGTAGTCGTTTCATATCTTAGTGGCAGACGCCACCTAGATATGAGAAGACTAAATAAAATGCCAAAAAATTGACAATAAGGTGTATCATAATTAGACGGTTGTGTTGTATATCACCATGAGTTTTATATCTTCTTGGCCTCAAGGTTAAAATAATTGATTATTGGCACATTTCCTTGTCCGAAACATAACATGTTTATCCTTTGCAATAGGCTAGTTGGCACATGAGTGCATCGTCTTAGGGCGGCGTGTTCAGTACCACTGAGAATAATATTAGACTTCAAGGTCAAATAATAGTACTTAGGATCACTTTCACGTGCATCCTATAACTATATACATTATTGGTTGTCATATTTGAATATCGTGAAAGCTGTGCAGAAACTATCCCCTAAACCAATATATTCTGAATTGTCATCACAAGACCTTTATAGCGCATCCCTGGTTTGTCCTTGGAGTCGTGTCTCGTTCCCTTATTTAAATTTAATCCAGCACCGGTTGCGATCGATACCAACGTTGCAACAATCGCTAAATACTACCTATAAAAAACCCTTTCGGTTATATTTTCTTCAAACTGATTGAGACATTCTCTGGAATATCTCTAAAGCTCGCATTCATTTACATAAGAAACCTTTCTATTGTAGTTAGTTAGAACTGATTCAGGGATTGATTCTCATCAACAATATTTTCTGAAGAATATTCAATGGCTTCGAATTTGATACTAAGTCTCCTGCTGGAGGTCATTTAAGTTACAATACTCTGTAATAACGTAATAAGAAGTCTATAAGTTTAACGTCTATCAAGAGAAACCATTTGTTTATACATTTCAATAGGCTCCCATAAACAGCAAAGTCGCACTCTTGCTGCGCTAAAGTAGCGCACTTACTTCTATCATACAACCATTATGGCATATAAGGTTCTCAAAAAGAGTTTCTAAACTATACTTAGTACATGCACTAGCCGCAGTTGTAAAACTAAGTACAACTTAATATCATATTAGACGGATATCAATGTTCTTATTTCTTTTGATTCAGAATCAAACCTTACATGGTTTAATAATAATAAAATGGTTGCTGAAACAAGATAAATAAACAATTATAACCAATCAAAAATACATTTGTAAAGATAGAAGTAAATCTGTCGATATGTCTTGTCAAACAAATTCATTTACTGTCTTGACTGTCACAAAGATAGGTCTTTGTCGTGAAGAGCAACTTGTTATCGATCGCGATAGAGGGTACTTTAGACTGAAGTGAAAGTGGACGTTTTCTCTTGCAATCCAACCATTGAAGTAAAAATATTAGTCTCATGGTACAATTGATTATTTGTTTAATTTTAAGTTTCTGTTCTTGTCATTAATGGTTTATCTCGAATTTCAATGACAATAAAATGTAACAATGGCATCTACACAGGCAATTTTTTCCAACGTGTGTTTAACGTTTGTGCTCATTACGTGAAAACTACGTTATTTCCACGTGTGTATCACACCGTTTAAACGTTTATATCACCTGTATTTGACACACACAAGATTCTCACGTGATAATCACGTTTTAATCTGCTCACGTGATATTCACATTTAAACGTAACGTTATTTTCACATGTAAATTTTTTAACGTAATATTAACGTGTAAATATTGTGTTAATTTCACACGTAAATTTTTAAACGTGATTTTAACGTGTAAATATTGTGTTAATTTCACATTTAGATTTTTTCACATTATTTTAACGTGTAAAAGTTGTGTTATTTCACGTCTATATTTTCACATGATCATGATGTGAATTTCATATTAATATCACATGAATAACATATGTACATGTAAGTGCAAGTTATTTTTGCAATGGCTATGTTGGATTTTCATGTGTTCAGTGAATATTTAAGGTAATGCATCTGTAATATAAATTTTACCTTAGTACAACATAAAAATTCACCAATTGCAAAACATGAAGTTGTAAGTGTATTGTATGTTGTTTACTGTAAAATATAATTCCTTCACATGGGTTATTCTGAATTAACAAACTAATTAGAAATATACATTGTGCTTTGTTATGCTCTAAATGATTGAGTCTTCCTTTATTTCCTGTTCTATTTTATAAAATCTTCCTTTACTTCAAGTTGACAATGGTTTTCATTAGAATCACAAGAGGTATATTCCGTAACAATTCTTTTTAAAAGAAATAAAACTCATTTCATGTTCTGATATCTTCTTTTCACAGTCTTGTTGTTATAATGATTTACTGCTGCAGACACTTATTTCCTCTTTTTATTCATAGAAGATGTATCACTCTGTCAATTTTCCCTGCAAACATAAGAAAAGTAGTAAGAACAAAGAAATTATAATAATAGCTTATTAATTTTGTCGTTGAATTCTACTGGTACTGAACATGCTCTAAATAGAAGATGCAAAACTACATCATATGAATGTTTTAGTTTATGATTATTTTATTCGAACACAATTGACTTAAATAGGATCAGACACAAGTTTTACTTCTGTATACAATAGGATAATAATATTATATTAAATTGAGTATGCATAAATTTTGCGCCTGTCCCAAGTCAGGAGCCTCTGGCCTTTGTTAGTCTTGTATCATTTTTAATTTTAGTTTCTTGTGTATAATTTGGAGTTTAGTATGACGTCCATTATCACTGAACTAGTATACATATTTGTTTATGGGCCAGCTGAAGGACGCCTCCGGGTGCGGGAGTTTCCCGCTGCATTGAAGACCCATTGGTGGCCTTCGGCTGTTGTCTGCTCTATGGTCGGGTTGTTGTCTCTTTGACACATTCCCCATTTCCATTCTAGATTTTATACATACAAAACTATTTAATTCTAACATGAGTATAAGTTAACCAATTTGAAAATAAAATGCAAGGCTCAGCTTGATATGACTGACCACAGAGGTATATAGACCAATTTGAAAATGGGGCCCAAAATCAGAAATCTAACTAAACGATTAGATTCACCATATCAAAGAACCCCAAAAATTCAATTTTTGTCGAATTCAAACAAAGTTTACTTTTGGACCCTTTGCTTCTTAATGGGGACCAATTTAAAAGCAGGGCTCAAAATTAAAATTTTAACTTAACAGTTAGATATCTCATATAATAGAACCAATAAATTATTAAATTTTATATGTCTTCAAACGACAAAGTTTAAATTTGTACCCTAGGGACCTCAATGTGGACCTATTTTAAAAAGGAGGCCAAATCTATATACAAGTAACAAGGTTTGAAAAAATAAAATAAAGACTTTGAATTAAACACAATTGAAATTGGTCAAGAAAAAAGCAGTTTATACATATATGCATGAATGTTATTTTTGGCCCCTAATGCCTAAACTGTTAACATGGTTAAGGCCATAACCCCTAAATCAATCCAACCTTCCTTTTGAGGTATGGAACCTTGTGGTGTCATAAAGATCCATTAACTTAAATTTTGCGACTGTATAAATATATCATGTATATTATAAAAACAAGAGTGCACACCCTGAAATGTCTTGCCTTCTTTACTAACCATTGATATTATGTTGATAGTCCTAAATATAAAGCTGAACTACAACTATCACATAAACTTAACATGATCCAAGAAAATGAGGTCAAGGTCATATAAACCAAACGAGAAATACTTGTAGTATGTACATTTGTACACCTTACAATCATTCAATACACTAAATATAGTTAACCTATTGCTAACAGTTTCTAAAAAACAGACTTAACCAAGAAAACTAAACACTGACCAATGAACCATGAAAATGAGGTCATGGTCAGATGAACCATGCCAGGCAGATATGTACAGCTTACAATCCTTCCATACAACAAATATAGTTGACCTATGGCTTATAGTTAAAGAACGGACCAAAACACAAAAACTTAACACCGAACAATGAACCCTGAAAATGAGGTCAAGGTCAAATAAAACCTGCGAGACTGATATGTACATAATAAAATATTTCCACACACCAAATATAGTTGACCTATTGCATATAGTATTAGAAAAAAAGACCAAAACTCAAAAATTTAACTTTGACCACTGAACCATGAAAATGAGGTCAAGGTCAGATGACACCTGCCAGTTGGACATGTACACCTTACAATCATTCCATACACCAATTATACTAGACCTATTGCTTATAGTATCTGAGATATGGACTTGACCACCAAAACTTAACCTTGTTCACTGATCCATGAAATGAGGTGGAGGTCAAGTGAAAACTGTCTGAGGGACATGAAGACCTTGCAAGGTATGCACATACCAAATATAGTTATCCTATTACTCATAATAAGAGAGAAATTTACATTACAAAAAATCTTAACATTTTTTTCAAGTAGTCACTGAACCATGAAAATGAGGTCAATGACAATGGACATGTGACAGACGGAAACTTCGTAACATAAGGCATCTATATACAATTTATGAAGCATCCAGGTCTTCCACTTTCTAAAATATAAAGCTTTTAAGAAGTTAGTTAACGCTGCCGCCACCACAGCCGGATCACTATCCCTATGTCGAGCTTTCAGCAACTAAAGTCGCAGGCTCGACAATATAACTACATTTATGGGATTTGAAGGAAGAAGTGATGAAAAAGCAAATGAGGATGAAAATTGAAGTTTTGAAGGTTGAATCCAAGATATATTACCATACCCAATGAAATAAAAAACTGCTTAGACATTTATATATTTAAATATATATGTACAATGACAAGACTCAATACAAAGTTTATAGTAACACTGAAGAATGACAAAACTCAACACATGCCCGATACAAAGTTTACAGTAATACTGATGAAAATTTTGTGACGGTCAGATTGACGGGACAAAAACAATAATACAAGTTCTCTTGGTCTGCTTAGATAATGAGGCTGCATGGACAAGCTAATATATAGCCTTTATTTATATCTTTAACCTTTTAGTCATTTCAGGATATCTGCCTAAGACCATTCTTTGGTAATCTCGGATACATGTACCCGGTACATAATATTCATGAGCAGAGACAATCAAATTTGAACTGTTTTACATTTGTCATTTAGTAGCCTTTTATAGCTGTCTATGCAGTATAGGTTTTACTCATTGTTGAAGGCCATACAGTGACCTATAGTTGTTAATGTCTGTATCATTTGGTCTCTTGGAGACAGTGTCTCATTGGCAATCTTACCACATCCTATTTATTTTACATTTGTATTGACACTTACAATGTATATTGAAGTCTTTTGTTTTAACCAAAAGATGCCTCTACTGGTTTTGTTGTTTGTTCGGGTGCTGATTCATTGAAATATAGACGACATTTCTTTTCATTTATTTATCTCAATCGTTTGACCGTTACAGCCAAGTTAATCAAGTATAAAATAAGTATATAATACCTGCTGCTTTTACTTCTTCTCCTTATTGAAAAAGTACATTTCCTTTGTTAATTTCTTTTTTTTCCCCAATGAGCTCATAAACAATTTTCTCTGTTCATTAACTAAGAACTTGGGAACTTGCTGTATCCCTAAAAACATATCAAATTATTCAATTGATGGAAAAAAATCTTTCATTTTTATAATGGTATTATTTATTACACAATAGAAATATTACTCTTAAATATTTGTTTACATGTAGCTTAAGTTTGTAGTAATGTCATAAATGTGTAAGCTAAACATAAAATAAAAGATAGCTGTTCAAAGCTGACTGACATGATATCATCAATTAGATTTAACCCCCTGAACTACAAATTAAGGAGAAATTACAACTGAAAATATCGTTTAACAAGAGAAGAGAATTATCCTGTCATCAAGACAAAGATTGAAGAATCCAACATCCCCACTTTTTCACCCCAATATGAAAAATCCCTTTTTTTTAAACCTCGATATCCCACAACCCAAAAGCGTGTCATTCCCCTAATGTTCACCTGTACTAATATCAGAGACAGATTTAATGTGCAGCCCCCCCCCCCCCCCCCTTTGTGGGCTTAACCTTAGGCAGTCAATGCCCCTTTTGTTGGCTTAACCTTAGGCAGTCAATGCCCCTTTTGTTGGCTTAACCTTAGGCAGTCAATGCCCCCCTTTTGTGGGATTTACCTTAGACAATCAATGCCATCCCCCACCCCCTTTTATTAAAATTTATGTCATTTAAGAGTTCATAAATCGGTTTGACTTGTGTCTTATCGAATTTGTGTTGTTATTTAAATAAAATAAATGTTTTAACTAAACTTTAGTGTAGCCTTAGGGTAAAAAAAATCAGAAAAAAAACTGTAATTTTATCGAACTTACATGCACTGCATATTTTTAAAGTCACAAGTACACAGTACAGTAGACCTGAGACAGAACTTTTTTTTACTTCTACAGTTCCGTCATTGTACAGTACACAGACTCTCAGTCTGTCAGTTTCATATGGACTGTTATCACATTGACAAGGAGATTGCTTGCCAAAAATAACCGCGGGAAATACCGCACACCTTGAAAAATTTCGGAATCGGTGTGTAACCAAGAAGCGGAATCAATTTATTAACATTGTTTTGTTATCCAGCTGGTAGCTTGATATAATTTAAATACTTAATTTAATTAATTATTTGAATATTTAAACATGAAATCCAATCGATAAATTCAGTTTAAATGAGAATTGATGTGCTTCGTCTCTCAGAGAATTAATGTCCCGTACGGTTCACAGAAACGAGCGTCTCAGACGACTCATTTGGACGACACCAATTTTGACACCACAGTAGTGGCAATGGAAAGTAATGCAGATACTCTTGAAGATATAACAGGTATATTTTATTTCACAACCCCGTTATGAAGGTAAGTGTACAATAGTTAATTAAAACGTACCATTCCCTGAACAAATACAGTCTTCATGAAACACTTGACTGCCTGAAAATTGGAAAAACCCGTCATAAACTTTTAAATTCCTTTAAATTTAAATCATTTAGGGCCTATGGTTTGTGACTTGTGAGTCCTTTTTCATTAAAATTTTACTGTCCTGACAACATTTATACATGCCTGGGCCGTATGATTTTTATGAGTTAATCATGAAGACCAAATGATCACACTAATAGTAAAACCCAACTTTTGAAAGAAATTACCACAGGCACTAGCATTTTGTATTTAATTTAATCTCTGTAAAAAATAAATATCTTCTTTTAAGTTTTAAACTGAATTTTACTGTGCGTATTGCTGTGTGTTTCTTTATTCTACATTGGCTAGAGGTATAGGGGGAGGGGTGAGATCTCACAAAACATGTTTAACCCCACCGCATTTTTTTGCCTCTCCGAAGTCAGGAGCCTCTTACCTTTGTTAGTCTTGTACGTTTTTAAATTTTAGTTCATTTACATGTTTTGGAGTTAAGTGTGACATCCAAATTCACTGAATTACTCAATTAGTACACATTATTATGGAGGGGCCAGCTGAGGCCCACCTCGGGGTGCGGGATTTTCTGGCTTCGTTAAAGACCCATTGATGGCCTTCGGCTGTTATCTGCTCTTTGTTGGGTTGTTGTCTCTTTGACATATTCCCCATTTCCATTCTCAATTTTACTCAGACTGACTCAGAGACATCATATATAATGTCTCTGATTTACTTCACCAGTATAAAAGAGAACTAAAGTTAGTATTTATAGATAAATTATTTTATATTTATATATCTATTCAAAATAAAATTATGAAAAGAAAAGTAGAGATTATTGGGATTTTTTTTAATGTCAGAATATCATGGATAAAGCCAGAGGATTCTGAATATCTGGCAAAAACTCAAAAACATGAGGAACGAACATCCTTAGACATAAATATATGTGGGTTTTGATTTTTACAAGACTTCAATAAATAAATAGGGGCTTTTTAACATTCAGCTGCAGGTACTGAGGACCTAAATGTATTGATCACTTACACTTATCTGTCTGGAGTGGTATATAAACTTCACATGTCTCATAGACATACACCACATAACTCATTTTATTTCACCAGTTAAATATATGTCAAGATTGTTCATGATCATAGAATGACACTTGAGTTAATTATCAGGCAATTACCTTTCATTGTTCCACTTATTAATATTTACCACACAATTTTGGTAGTTCACTGTAATGTTCCCAATTTAAAGTTTGACAGACTATGACAATAACTGTATGTGTAAAAAAAATACTTAAAATTTATGCATTTCTTTTTTCTATATGACAGATAATAAGCAGGGCACGAACGAAGTATGGAGGATCTGTTTGAAAATTCCAGACATGAGAAAGAAAATGACAGGGAGAGATGTCCAGTTCAACGTTACCAGGACAATTCAGCAAAGTTCCAACAGATATGTATGCACTATTTCCATTCTATGAAATGTAATGCATTTAACAAAACAGTGTGCTTTAAAAAGAACAACATGCCTTTTGGCTTGCAGCATATGTGCAGAGGAAGAATAGATATAATTTGTTGTACATTAATGCTACATATGATATTTAAGTATTTTTGAAGAACAAAATGTTCTGAATGTTAGCATTAAATATTTGCCACTGGACAACTGAAGGACGTTATGTAATGCATACAAAAATTGATAAGTCAAATGTAAAAGGTGATAAGAATCGAATAATCGTTTAAATGTGTAACTATATATACGGTACATATACAAATGTACCTAAGAAGTGACTAAACAACATGAACAATAGATATATCTTGGAGCTATTCAGGAATTATCTAACAGGGTCTTTTTTTACACCAACCACCCGTAATATAAAAATTTATTTTACTTAATGAAGTATGTTTCTAAAGAAATTCTTAGGAAATTACAACCACTCCAATATAATATGACTACTTGGCATGACATCAGATGCAACTCATTCATTTGTCATTGTTACCTTTAAAAAAATAAAAATAAAAAATGACTTATAAAATCATGTCTGATTCTACAACATTTCATTTTATACTTTAAACAAATTTGATATGAATTTGGAGGGCTTGTAATCGTGCAGTCCTATTGCAGCTGTTTATTAAATTTTTAACACACTGTACAATTAGATTGCATAATTGGAATCATTATACCAAAAAAAACTAATGGACATTTATTGATACATTGATGTCTTTATTTTCTCATAATTGAGATATTGAATGATTAATGTTTAGCGCCACTTTTAACACTATGTCTATGGTGCTATTTTGTGGCATCCAGTTTTTATTGATGGAGGAAGCTGGAGAGAACCATGACCTTTGGTAGGAAAACTGACAATCCTAGTCAATTAAGATTGATGTTAAGTTCACTTGCCACGTGCAGGATTTGAACTCCCAACCTTAGTGTTGACTGGCTAGTGATACAGCAGTTCGACTACTTAGACTACTCGTCCAAGTTGGCCCCATATAATAGAGATATAATAAATATATATATATACAAAATTAATTAAATATCACACAAAAAAAGGAATGTAAAATAAAGAAAGAAAAAAAGAAAGTTTTATACATACACACAAAGAAATATTTAAGTCACTCAGCATAAAATCCCTATGCAATGATGTTAATCTTTAATGATAGATAACATGTTACATGTATATACTGTTCATATTATTAACATTACTAAAGATGATTATGTGACATTTGTTTGTCAGTCAGTAGATGGAGGCATAATATGTGGACTAAAGTTCATGTTCATGTACATTTATTTGAATATTTATTTTTCCAGAAAAAAACTGAACTTGAGGCAAATATATACTGTTATGTATATATATAAGATGGATAAAGGACATGATACTTTAGCAGTGCTTCAGAGAATCACATTTGGCTACAGAAGTTTGTAGTATTTTGGTTGTAATCAAGTTATTAAGCTGAAGGTAATTTAATAGTAAAACAAGAAATGTTTCCTATTCAAGTATACTAAAATAAAGTTTGATGTTTAGGTGAGAATATGATAAAGTTCTTTTTTTTTGTCTCCCTTTCGATTTACTTACGTATTTTCTGGCTTTTTTTTTTGTAAAGTACTGGTAAAAGTCAAAATTTGTTTGGTAAAGCACCATTTAAGTTCAGAACATGTTGTATATAGTATATTAATAATTTAGATAAAATAAAAATAAAAAATACAATTATTTTATCTATCTACCCTATCTTTCTGCCAGGAGACAGCAAATAAGTGTATACATTTTTTGGCTTTATTGTTCAAAAATGATGTTACAAAACATAACCAAATATTGATTAAATCCTTCATACTGTAGGTTATTTCTATACTTGCATGCCTGAAATTAAGATTATAATCTCATCAAACATTACTTTTCAAGTAGATAATAATATATTGTCAATTATATTATAATAATTAAATATTAGAGTTTCAGTAATTCATATATTGTCTTATTGACAGCTCATTCAAATTAAAATATAAAGTTATGAGGGTCCGGTAATTGTAGATTTGACCATGTTGACAGCAACAATAGCTTAAAAGATTTTGACATAAAAATTGAACAGTAATCTGAAACTGATGCTCAGAACCTTGAGGAATATCTAGAATTTCATTTTGTTTATAAAAACTGTATACTATACTTTTTGATAGCCCTTAGTAAAACATTTTCTTGGCTTATTTTCATTTTATGAACTATTTGAGTATTTCTTAATTCATTGACCCAGATTTAAATAGAAGGCTCAAAGGATTGAGATCTAAAAAAATTCATTTAAGACTTCCAGATGTATGTATGCCTTTCTTCTCGTTATTGCTTTGTTTGATCCTGTTCCTAAGCACATATTGACATAATGATGTTATTTTTTTTTTAATTTACAGCTTCATAGTAAAACAGATCTAGGCTACACCTTCACTATTCAAGTCAGACTTTAAAAGGAAGCCTTTTTTGTTGATAGCTGAACATGTAAGTAAATACATTAATATCTTATTTGTATATTGTACAAATTAAACAAAGGAAGAATAATTCAGAAATAATTCGCCTTTTTCAGAATCTAAAGGATTATGGGTAATCTAATTGTTCCTACACCAAAATGAAAATAACATTACCTCATTGGTTGAATTTCTATTGTTTAGAACTTTTTAAACCAATCACAACGTTTTGGTGTATGCTTTCGAAAATATTACCCAGAACAGAATGCATTTATTTAGATTCTGAAAGGGCGAATTAAACTGGTGATAATAGAAATATTAAAATGAGGAGATGAGGTATGATATTGCCAATAAGACAACTATCCACCACAGTTCAAAGAAAGTGGATGTAAGCAATAATGGGCAACCATAGAGCCTTTAACAATGAGAAAAATCCATAATGTATAGTCCGCTATATTTAAAGTTCAGTCTTTGGTGAAAGTTTTTTTTTATTTATCAATATATGAAACCTTCATCATGGATTATCATGTTGATGCAATTAAATGACATTTGAATAGTAGATTTTAATTATCGAGAGGGGTAGAAGATACCAATGGGATATACTCAAACTCAAAGGTCGATTTACAAACTGACAAACGCCATAAAACAAAAAAAAGACCGACTAAAAGACAACCAACTGCATACACAATGTAGAAAACTAAAGACTGAGCACCACAAGGGCACTAAAAATCTTGGTGATCTCAGATAATGCAGAAAGGTTAGCTAATCCTGCTCCACATGTGAAACCTATCGTGTTATTCCAAAAAAATATCTTTGCCAAGTTATACTAAGTCATTAGGCATCAGGCAACTAGCAGATTGGTTATTGACTCTTAATCTAACACTAAGATATCACCATATTCATCAACCATCAGTAATGTAAATTTTTAACCATTAATCAATAAATCTTGACCTAATGTGAAGTTTTGAAATTTGCAAATTTTTAATGAAAAGGATAGACAAGACAGTACCAGTAAAAACAACACAGACATTGAAAAATTAAGAAACATAAAGAACAAAATTTTGTCTTCTCTTTTTCATTATTTTTGTCTTGCCTTGAAAAAGCTAGATCTAGGGGTGCTGTTTCAACAATGTATAAGTATGTAATTAGGTCAGTTTAAGGGAAATTGAGATATCATGAATATATATATATATATATATACAAAATTTATTAGATATCACACAACAAAAGGAATGTAAAAAAAAAGAAGAAAGTTTTATACATACCATGAAATGATACGGACAATGAAATACTAAAGTCACTTAGCATATAAGTTTGTGATTAGATGTAAGAAGATGTGGTATGAGTGCCAATGAGACAAATCTCCATCAAAGTCACAATTTGTAAAAGTAAACCATTATAGGTCAAAGTATGGTCTTTAACACAGAGCCTTGGCTCACACCGAACAGCAATCTATAAAGGGCCCCAAAAATGTTTGTCAGTTTAAGGGGAACCTTTAGTGATGGGCCAATGATATTTGGTATTCAGTTGTATTAGTATTGGCACATCACATTTCCATGGAGATTATTTGGCCCTGTACATTCAGTCATGTTTTTTTTATGCCCCCGCAACTGAAAGTTGGGGGCATATTGTTTTACCCCTGTCTGTCCGTCCGTCCGTCCCATTATGGGTATATAGTTAATCCGCATAACTCCTCCTACAGTTTGAATCCTAGGAAGTTTTCACTTTGCTGTCTGTTTGTACATATATTGAAGGTGTGCATGTTGTCAGGGTTTTGATTTTTATTAATATTTGCTCTTTTGGGAGATAGTTGAACTTTGTCAAAGACACTTAGTACAAATCTGAGAATGCAGATACTGACAGCTAGTTCAAAGCCAATAACAACTTAAAAAAATAAGATTAAATTATCAATCAGTACACATCCAACATCCAATGGATTTAGTGTAAAGACATCATAAACAATCAGAGAAAAACATGACCTGGTGCAATGCCAAGATACAGGAAATGACAGATTGTAGATCCATGAAAGTGCATATGTATATCATTTAATTTTGGATGTAACACGTCTTCTGATTGGCTGAGAGAATTTTGTTTATCAGCTCATAGACATAATTTTGTCATGTGACCGTGACGTTATCAACGTTTTTTTCACGATTTACTCCTTAAAAATGGAATTTAGAATTAAATTATAAGGAATGATTGTAATATTTTTTCTGTCTTTTCGAAATAACAGAAAAAATGTGGTGCACACTGTTAAATAACCCGCTACGCGCGTTATTCAGTGTGCACCACATTTTTGATGTTATTTCTTCATAGACAGAAAAAATATTACAGTCATTCCTTAAATAATAATAATGTTTACTAGGGTTGTAAACTATAGATATATTGAGAATTTTATCACATTGTTGTTTACAAAGCAAAAGCAACACTCATATTAGAAGTAAAATAAAGCTTTCATTATGTATGCTTAAATAAGATAATATTATAACAGTAAATAAAATTCTTTTTTTTATCCTTTCAGATGAAGAAACTTTCAAAAGAGTGGAGCATTTAGAAGACGGAACAATCATATATTATTTGTTACTATTTCAGTAACTTTTCAAATGTTAACTGTTTAGAATATTCTTAAATATAAATATAATTGAATTTAATTTGGAAAGTGTTTTGTTTTTTTTAACATTTGGTAACATATGCCTCTGTTAGGCACAATTTTTTAATCATAAGCTGATAATTTTTAGATTTGTCATGGTAAACCTGCAAGGGACACAACTCTTGTAGAATGAACATTGTAAAATAGCTAGTCTGTATTGAATTGTTGTTTGGTATACATTTGGTTTTGCATTATTTGTTGTGCTATTTCGAATTCGACTTCTTTTCAAACATTGTATAAATTTAAAATGTAGCTGACTTTGACATTGGTATTCATACTTTTAGATTTTTTATGAATTGTCAAACAAACGCGATTATAAAGCAAGAATTTCAAACAAACAAAAAAAGAAATACTAACAGGAAGATTCGAAAGGTTTCAAACATGTAGAAATAGTCTCATGGTTTAAATAAGATTTGGATTTATATATATATATATATATATAAGTTTTAATGGATGCTAAACATCCAGCCACAAATATTACATACATATTCAGGATGATAACAGGTTAATAAAACATGCATATGAGGTAACTGATAATCAATATAAGACAATTTATTGATGTATAACTCACTTTTACAGTACTTTTACCATAAAGAACCAGAGAAATATCTTCAAATAGAGATGACCAAGAACAAAAAATGATATGTCAATGAGTGCAACAAAGACAATATTTCATTTTTCCTAGTGGCTGCTTCACATAAAAGTCTTGTTGTATTATCACGTTTATATCACGTGGCTTTATATTTAACGTGAATATCACGTTGTATTATCACGTTGATATCATGTGGATTTATATACAACGTGAATATCACGTGTGACGAACGTTTATTTCACATTGTGCTCACAACGTGAATATTACGTTTCTGCTCGTTTCACGTTGTACTCACGTGGTGTGGACAACGTGAATTTCACGTGATTCCCATGTTAAAATCACGTTGGAAAAAATTGCCTGTGTAGGGCACTGGTTCTGTATAAATTGTTTTTTTTTTACTTGTGAAATCCAAATCGGGTATAATTTAACATGCAGAACTTAAAATAATACACAATGCAGAGGGAACTGTAGAATCGAATAAAGAATGACTAGGATGAAATTTGAAAAAAAGGCAGGACAGGAGTTTTGAGTAAAAAAAAGGCAGGATAAGCAAAATGGCAAAAAAAATAGGCAGGATGACAATTTATGTTAAAAAAGTCGGGATAAACTAAAAAAAAAAAGGCAGGACCGAAATAGAGTGAAAAATAAAAAGGCACAGGACAGAGATTACAACAACAAAAAAAAATTCATCCTAGCCCCCCCTCCCCATTAAAATCAAATGGTATCTCCCTAAAGATTAATCAATGGATCTTAAACGTTGCTCTTGTGTCATCAACAGTGAGCAAAAGACAATTATCCTATCCAAAGCTAAAAATGTTGTTATCAAAATTCTGTTCAAAATAACACACAGCTACACATCGAATATAAAGCTTGTTGTTTGATTTTTTTGTTGGATGGTAATACAAAAATGTAAGACAGTTACACGTACAATATTGAACATGAAAAATAGGATTATGGGACTTAATCAATTGGGAATTAAAAGTTAAAAGTACAAAAATAAATGACACATGTACCTACAAGGTTAATCTGTTTTAGATTATTATATGTATTATATGTATTATATGTATTATATGTATTATATGTATTATATGTATTATATGTATTATATGTATTATATGTATTATATGTATTATTAATAAAATACAGCTAAAGGTTGTAATTCGATTTGAATATTCAAAGGTAATGTGAAAGTTAAAAAGTTTGCAGTTGATATTTTCCATATAAGTAGCTAACAGATTTTCAAACTGCCAACTACATTGTTACATGAATTCAATTCAATACAACGGTCTTCATAACAAATGAATGTCTACATAATATATCGTTCTGAGTCTGAGACTACAGTTGTGAATAAATGTAACAGAGACTATCAACCCGAATTCCAAAATGGACACTATTAAAATGATATAAATTAAGAAAGGTTCAAAGAAAAGTATTGAACTTTATATATAATGCTAGAGTAAAGACATAAATAAAAGTAAAAGTAAAACAATGATATGTATTGCCATATCGAAGTATGGTCATTGTTACTGAAAGCAAGCTCAAAATATCTATCATGTTGCTAAAGAAATCAAGCAGTCTTACAGCCAAATGTCGATGGCTGTACTTCGGATAACCTTTCATACAGCAACGGGGAGACATGATCTTGTCAAACGGTCAGGGAAGACTTATACAGAATTCAAATGAAACTTCAATTCTAACTTTAATTTTGAAATTTGATGCGTATGGTTCAAAAAACAAATACAAAACAAACAAACACAAAAACAGTTGCAGTAAATTAAGAATGAAAATTACACTTTATACATTTCGTGCATTTGAAAGGCTTTTCTGGATTTATCTTCCTCAAAAACGCTCAAACCAAAGCACTTGGTAGCTAGGGAAGTATAAATACGTAGGAGCCATATGACCAAAACGGACCTAATAGAATTGCAAATTCATCTAAGGTCAACTTTGCCCACGGCTTAATTAGAAATCTTAGTTTCCATATAGTTTCTTAATTAAACAACGGGGAAATTTTTAGAAAATAGTTATGAACCATGTCAGTACTTACTCACTGTGTACCGAGTTGTTGATACTCTCGTAGACTAACACTCCTCCAACAGTGATAAGTACCTAATGCTAGTAAATGCATACAACACCAAAAAAATCGTGCGTTCGTTACTCGTTTGTTGATTGATTATCTTTATTTCCTCCATATGTATGAAGGTTCCTTCAGTAACTCTCAAACCATAACATTTGAAAGCCAGGGATGTATTAATACGTAGAAATGTTAATAGACATAGTTATCACCTTCATTTATACCATCTGTTGGGCAACAAAAACAAAATACGGAAAATTCCTCAAAGTGGTTGCACTATAAATGAAATTATCGTAACAAGTTGAATTTCGTTTGAAATATCGATTTTTATTACATCCTTGCAGGCGGTATCATACCTTAAAAATAAATTTTTCAACATTTGTAATAAAATTAAACAAAGAGTTTTCAGTTCGCATTCAACATTCAAATATATAACTTGTATTTTATCTCTAATATTTCTTTTAGTCATTTTATATTGAATACATGGATGAGCTTGCACAGGAAATAGGCGCTAAACCAAACTTGTTCCGAATGCTTTTTAAAGACCCCGTTTTGGCTTTCCACTGTTTGTGCAGTCCCTGTATTCCTGCCCAGTACAGACTTTTTGGTCCGTGTAAATGGGATGGAGCCAAGGAGTGCATCAAAACAGCATGGCAACGAAGTTTATCCCCCTTGTCAGAAACGTCATTTCCCTGGAACAGAAATGGCACCAAGAAAGGTTCGACCGACGACAAAAAAGGTTCGACCAACGACGACAAAAAAGGTTCGACCGACGACGTCAAGAAAGGTTCGAACGACGACAAATTCACTACTACTATACTTCTAGTAACAGTGCTCGTCTTAATAGTAGTTTACATGTATTTTTTCAACTAGAAATCACCTGAGAAATGGTAACTTTTAAAGATGGATGTTATTTGTGGAGTATACCATTTTATTTACTGTATACCCCGAGTCTATAAACTGATGTAAATGTACAGTTTAAAGTCGTACAGTGCAAGTAAATTTCAAATCTGTCAATCCAGGTTCAACTTATAAATACTCAGATACCTTATGTCATGTATAGATATTGAAAATCGAATTTTCACAAAATAAAAGCTTAAAAAGATAACTGTAGATTTATTAAAGGATTAGTTTTTTTTAAATTTTCACCAAGTTTTATCTTATTTAATACTGCATATCTATGATTTATTGACTATTGATCTTCAACGTGGATTGGTTACACTTTAAATGCATGGGGAAACGCTGATAGTTTGAGTTATGAACTTGTTATTACATAGTTTTTTATGTTTATGCTCTATTGTTCTGTTAGTATAGATTGTCATTGTTTTAGTCATAATTCATAAAAAATGTCGGGTTTTTTTCTCTGTTTCTACCACTTTCTCTTTAATACAACATCTACCGAATTACTAGATAAATAAACATTTTATAATTGGATGAATTCAACAAATTTACCTTGAAAATGTCCGCAACATCCCATCCAAATACGCCATACATGTACAAGTTTCAATATATACAATTTGTTAAAGGTTACACAGTGATTTGGACTCCAACAGTGAAGCACAGAACTATGTATCATACGCAGAAAACATGTTTAACCCCACAACATTCAGTAGCCTGTAATTCGTTGGTTGTGATTTGTTGCTGTTGTGTAGTATTTGTTTTTTGTTTATTGCTTGTCATAAATCAGGTCGTTTATTTTTTTCTTGTGAGTTGTTTCACATTTTGGCAGGTCCAGATCTTATACGGTATCAGTTGACTATACAGTTTTGGTTTAGCTCATAGTTTAAGACCGCACGGGGACCTATAGTTGCCTAAATTCCGCTTTATTTGAACTCTATTGGTTAGTTATCTCATTGCAGGCGTTCCACATTTCCTTATTTGTCTTCAACAAGGTATTTTTTGGCAAAATATTTTCATATTTATTTGCTTTTCTTTGTTTTTCTTTGTTTTGGCGTTGATTACCGGCGATGCAGTTTAACAGAAGAAAAACTGGACATTTTAACACAAAATTACAAAATGTACATGTTTTTTTTCAAATTTTGCATGGGAAGACATCGCTTATCAAAAGAGAATTTATTTATATCCGAAAGACAACACATAGATCAACTTCCGGCATAATTTTTGTTTCGATTAATGATGTTCTTCTTATACGTTTTCGGGATAAAGACTCAACATTACCAAAAATCTCTCAAAATTGCGATTTTGGGCATTCTTCAGGGGTATATGATTTGATGACATATACAGAAATAAACCAAACTATTAGTAGAACTTTACACACATTGGGTTGTGATACTAAGAATTTTAGTAAAGATCGAAAGATTTTTGAAATATCAATTAAGGTAAAAATATTAATATCGATCGAAAAAAGAAGATATAGTTATACGTAAATGAGACCGCAATCTAACAGAACACGATCACCAAAGCAGATGTCTAAAAGACACTGGGAAAGCAGAAACTGCTTACATTTCAAGAGCACCAGAGTTTATCTCCGGTTTTTGTTAAGGTTCGTGATGTTCAAGCTTTGGGTTTCAGTTCAGTGTTTTGTGTTCTGTTGTTTGTCTTTTCGTCGTCTGTCTGTTTCGCCGTTGTATTCAATTGTGCCCTTAGTATCTCCTCCCTCCTCTGTTCACTATCACAGTATAACAAACTCTTTTTTAAGTCTTCCCAATCGTTTTCCAACCGAAACGATGAATATCTATATCATCTACACCAAATGCATATCAACCATAAACTTGCTTGACTTAGTCCTCTTCATTCCTTTTGTGGAACATAGGTCTGCCACAGTCGCTTTCCACCTTACTCTATTCTTGGGCTATTCTTTTTGCTTCGCTCCAGGTATATCCGATCTCCTCCAGCTCCTTCAGCCTTCATCTTTTCCAGCTGTAAAATGGTCTTCCCTGTCTCAGATGTACTTGATGGTTCAATTCTAAAGCCTGTCTAGTGATGGTCAATCCATTGAAATGTTCTTCTTCTCATTAGCTGTTAATTGCTGGTTGGTACGTTCTCGTAAGCTTTTATTACTAATTGTTTTCGGCCACCAAAATTTACACATTAAGAAATAAAACAACCATTGACGAGATTTCTGACTTGGACAGTTACATTAACATGTGGCGTTGTTTCGAGAAAGAAAATAAACTGTTATCACAGAGATATCATGTCTCGCCTTTTTGTAATTTTGATAATGCAAATGTTGAAATTAAAATAGCAATACTTTAATGTAAGTTATGAAATACTAATATTCAAAGTCGATGAACCATGACTGAAGGTACATGGCTAAACAATCTCCATGGAATGAGATGCGCCAATGCTAATACAACTGCATACCAAATACCATTGACTAATTATAAGTCGTTCCCTTTAAACAAACCTAAACATAAACATTAACATTAACTTGTAAACTATGTAAAAGTTTCAAAGTCAATGAACCATGATCACGGGTGGGGCTATATAATCTCCATGGAAACGATACTTGCAAATGCCAATAAATTTGCATACCAAATATCATTGACTTAACATTAGCAGTTCATCTTAAACTGATCTAATAACAAACTAATACATGTAAACTAAGCAAAAGTTTCAAAGTAAATAGACCATGACTGAGGGGGCGGGGCCAAATATTCTCCATGGAAATGAGATGTGCTAATGCTTATACAACTGAACACCAATTAACATTGGCGTATCACTAATGGTTCCCCTTGAACTGACCTAACCACAAACTAATACATGTTAACTTAGCAAAATTTTCAGTCTATAGACCATGACTAAGGGGGCGGAGCCAAATAATCTCCATGGAAATGAGATATGCCAATGCTTATACAACTGCATACCAAATATCATTGACCTACCACTAGTGGTTCCCCATAAATTGACCTAATCAATTCAAACTAATACATTGTTGACGCCGCCGCCGCCGCCGGAAACAGCATACCTATGTCTCGCTTTTTGACTCCGTCAAGGCGAGACAAAAACACAATTGAATCAATGATACTTCTTTATTACAAACAACAACAAAAATACACCTATAATTTAAACAATACCAAATCATATCGTATCGAAGATTACGGGTATATTTATGGCAACATACTAATTTCCTCTTTTGATCGTTATTATACACGTATTGACCGTTGAACTTCGACAGGAAAACTAACAATCCTACTCAATTGAGATGAGAGTCGAACGCACCTGCCAGGTTCTGCATTCTAAATAACAACCTCATCAGTGTTGACAGGATATTGATATAGTAGTAGATGAACTACTTAGACCATTCGGACACCGAGGCCCCATGTGACCTTAGATTCAATGTCTCTAACTGTAAAAAATGCCAGAGTTCCGTGTGACACCACACCATAGCAAGCACCATACCAAATTAACACATACTCCGGGGCGATGCTAAATGTAACTTGACCTTAAAAAAATCATTGATTTTTTTTATGACTTTTTACAGGGCAGTGGTATCCAAGTGAAGTTCATGCACAAAAAAATTGTAACTAAATATAAAAGATTAGTTTTCCCAATAAAAATTGATTGGTTATCTAAAAAATACAATTAGAAAACGTCTCGGTAATTAACGTGATTTAATTAGCGATTCATTATAATAAGTCGGCAATAGATCATGCCAATTTAGTTGCGCTTTTTTAATTACTTTTATTTGGAGTAATGAAGGTGAAACGGAAATAAAACTTATGTAATGCTGCTATTGGTTTCTTGTATGAGCTGAGTTATGCATGACGTATTATATGTGTGATATTACAATTTAAATAACATTTCCACAAGTAATACTTATACTTTTGAAATCTGAAAATAGAAATATCGATCAATGATTTAAAATTTAAAGAATTAAGTCGTATGACAGAAATGATAAAGATTAGATTAATCAATATGCGGTATACAAAATATATTTAAATTTAGAGAAGTGATTTATAATGTAAATCTATATGTTTTCATCAAATAAGGAAGCATAAAGCCATTTACATGATATTTTTATGGATAAATTCAAATCGCATTGAAAGTATATTTTATAGAATCGCTCGGTTGATTGGGACAGGTAAAAATTACGAGCCATCTACCTGAGACATTTAAATTCGATTCAAAGCGTCCTTGGCAACCGTTGATCCATGCCCTAACGAGTCGTTGACATACTCGTGTTGGTGTAATTTCACACAAACATGGTGTTTTGAAAGCTTTGTCGGTTTTTTGTTTTATGAAGTTTTTCTGATGACTTAAAAAGGGAGTGTTAGTTGTGATTTCAGGAACCCATAACATAAGGGTGCTCATTCAAAATGGCAACGACAAATGGAGGACATCTTCCGGTGAAGGCGATCTTGTCGGGACATCTACGAGGATATGAGATTCCCAACATCCCACCAAAAGTTGTCCGAGTTTTCCTGGCCTCCACAGGACAAGGTAAGACGACCATGCACTCTGTTGTAAAATGCAATCTGCTTTTATGATAAAAATACTTTTTTTTGTCAATATTTAACGATTTTTACTGAAAGGTCATGTAATATAAAATCTATGACAAGCTGCTAAGGCAATTAGATATAAATATTTGCAGTAAATAAATTGATGGCATTTACACAGCATAGGAAGGTGAGATAAGTCTTGAAATGTACAGCACTATAGGAATTTTCTTTACAGAGTTAATTTTTACCATGTTCTTTATTATTCTCCCCCTTTTTTCCTTTTGAAATTAAACGTTTAGAATAGAAAAGAAATGACATATGGTATCTATCCATGACACAAAATTAGTACATGCACATAAAAAACACAAAAAGCAAAGGAACGGCGCTTTTATTGCTGTTATTCATCTCAAAGTCACAGCGAGGCCTTCAACACGGAGCAAAAAACAAAATCACCTCGCTGCAAGTTTAAGACGACCCATAATATCGGTTTGAGCGAATTATTTTTGTATACTTAGTATAATGAGATAAATTTTTCAGTCCGATTTCAAATTAGTTTACACTAGTAAGTTGAGATCATTTTGTGGAATAGTAAGCAAAACATAGATGTAGATAGGAATAAAAGGAGATGTGGAAAA